ATCAGCGCAAATAAATTCATATTACAACCAAACACATGCCAAACAGAAGTGAACGCAAAATTTTTTAAAGTAAAATAATTAACCCAACTGCTCCAATCTCAAAAGGCTCAAATTTTATTATATTTGGACTTGTTCAGAGGTCAATCGTATAGTCTTTAGACAAAAGCAAGTGCCAATGTCAGAGCCTTTGATGACACATTTGCTAATGCATGACAGCCCAGGCGGGTCAATGTGCTGGGGCACATTTCCTTTGTGCATGTTAGCAGTTTGGCTCTATATCTTGTTGGCATGTAGGCATATGGAATCATCTTTTTTACCTCTACTAAATTGAAGTATATAAAAGAATTTCAGTGAAAATCATTTTTTTGTATGCAATGATTTTTCATCGAAACAAAACAAGACCCAACGTAATACGGTGTAGGAGATTGTTTTGCTTTTATGTATTTAGTTTGAAGGAAAAGGTAAGAAACCTACATGATCCTACCTTTTCCTTCCAACCAAACGCGGGTTCGACAGACTATGATGTTGGAATGCCTTTCCAGTATCATGTCTTTATCGCATCACAGGGTTTTTCATATATGAAATATTACTTTTTTTTGTAGTTTTAAAATCATTAGAGTTAATTTGGCTTTGATTGACTTGGCTCACATAGAAATATCTTAAGGCTCTTTCTATTTCAATTTCATGTAACAAAGGATTGTGCATCCACACGAGTCCCAACTATTGAAATGAATTCCAATGTCTCTTATTCTTATTGGGTTATATTTGGTTATCCCTCTATTCAAATTCAATTCGATCTGTTTGCAGCCCAAATTAGGATGGCCATTAAAACAAAAGTAACCTGGCACATGGAATGCTTATTTAACCATTTCATATTTTCTTGGCATAGAGGACCTTTTTGAAGTAGCCATGACTCGTGACCCTATTATCCCCAAACCTTCTTTTGCGGGGGATTAAATCCTCTTGACACATTTAGGGTCTATTCATTTCCTTTTAATCTTACAATTTTTTTTTGTTTTTTAATGATATCCCTAAAACACAAACAAAAATTCTTATATACAAGGTTAAAATAAATATTTAACAATTTTTAGAATATAAAATTCAGAAATCATAACAACATTTTATGCATTTAGATTTGAAAGGAAAGAAAAATTTATCAATATCAATATACCTTTTAATGTAATTATTGCACTTTCAAATAACAAGTATTTACTTTCAAATCTTCATTAATAATGCTGGCATGTGGATTTCTTTTATTTTTTTAATGAACTCATTGGGATTTTGAACAGAATTTGGAGGATTAGATGTCAACCAGCTGTAATGGGGTTGCTTGCCAACCAAAGCAGAAGATAGGTTAAGGTAGTATGTCCCCCAGCTAACCAGATATATGGATAATTGTGGATCTGATGTGTTGAGGCCCCATATATATATAATACCATTAAGATGCATTTGGTTTGATAGAAGGCAAGAGACAAACTGAAAGTCAAAGGGGGAAGTTATTACCGAATTTTGTGGGTTACTTGTAAGGTCCAATATTTCTTTAAGAATTTCTTTCAACTTTCTATTTATTTATATTTTTCTATTAAACCAAAAGTAACCTTATAGTGCTGGTTGAGGCTGTCGAGTAAGGAGCGTATGCATGATGAGAGAAAGGAGTTTGAAAGAAGAGCCTTTATTTTTTGTAGGTCACTGGTAAGGCCCACACTGAACGACTTTATATAAAGACTGGCAGACTGCCATCCATCCAGGCACTATTTTGGCCCAAAACCATCCAACCTGTATTGAATACGTACTTCATAGCAGCTAAACCCCGGAGTCACGGACACCCCCAACATCATTCATTCTATGTTTGGTTTAAGGAAAAGGTAGGGATAGGGAAAGGAAGGTAGAAATAAGGAAACTTATACCAGGTTTGTAAAGATTTCTCTATTTTTTTTTTCAAATCAAACACAGCCTAAAAGTTTCACATTGAAAATCAAGATTTTTGACGAGTATCGTGAAAGCAATCACGCTGCATACCACCTTGCTCCTTTCAAGCAAAGTAATTAGGAAGTAATGACATTGACCTAAGTTCGGGTTGGCAAGGTGCCAAGTTGGTGGTTGTGGTGGAGACCTGAGATTGAATCCCACCTATACTTGGGTTGGGGGATGGGCTATCTCCGTTATATGGTGCCCTTCAAAAAGAAAAAGAAAAAATCTTAAGGTTGTACATATTTCCCTTTCTTTCACTTCCTTACCTTTTCCTTCAGGCTTCGTTTGGTTTGTGGGAAGATTTGGGTGGGATGGAATGGGAAGGTGTAAAAATTTAACTTTCCATTGTTTGGTTTATATGGGAAAAGTACCTCCACTTCGCCAGAATGAGAGAGAGATGGGAGTGCTGAGAAAGCAGATTGTTGCTGCCGAGAGTTACATCAACGATTAGAGAAAGAAGGAAAATCAAAGGGGAGGAAGATGGGGAGAATAGGAAGAAGAAGGTGAGGGAGAAGAGAGAAGAGGAAGATGGAGGGAGAGATAGAGATAGAGAATAGATCGGGAGAGGAGATCGTCATTCTTCTGCCACCGCATGGTGAAGAAAACGGTGAAGGATTGTTGCCATCGCACTAGTTCTCTTGCTGGTTCGTCATCATTTCTCACCTTATTTCTTTTTGGTGCGACCCCGATTACAAGATTTTGGGATCTTGCATCCCACGTTTTTCTCATCCCATCCCCCTATTTCCCTCAAAAAAAAAAAAAAAAAGAGGAAAAGGAATATTTTTAGAATATTCCCTTTTTCTCATCCCCATCCCACAAACCAAACGGAGCCTCAAAGTTCAAACTAAACATAGCCTTAAAGTTGACTAAACCTCGACCAAAGGGTTGGACAAGGGCAAATTTACTATTTAATCAAATTAATTAATTGACTCTTTGGGGGCTTTTTTTTTGGATTTTGAGAGGGGGAAAATATGGTCAATGGGCTTTTGGTTCCCATTGACCAAGGATCCCATGTTTTTTTTTTTTCAGGTTAATGTGGGGACCAAGGAAAGTTTATTTTCCTGGGTATCCCATCTCCTAGGGGTAGATAACTTTCCCACTTGGGGGTGGGGAGGGGGAATTTCCAACACTTGAATGGGACAAAAATGCTCATTTTAATAATAATTTTTTTTATAGTTAAAATGGTCATTTTCTTTTTTGCTTGGGAAATAAAAGAATATGGGTAAATACACTTACCTAAGTAATTGCATTTACTCGGGTAAATAATTTACCGAAAAACGAACAAGGTCTTTGAGGGGTCTATACAAAAATTTATCTATTAGTGTTATATAAAACAAATACTTGCCTTGATGTTGGTACAATTCAGTTAAATTTGATTATATAACATTAATTTATATCTTTGTCATTTAATTATAGCATGATTATTAAAAAAAATAATTATAGCACGTGCCCTCACACTACTATGTATTATTTAAAGCAAAATTTTGAAATTCATAAAAATTAAAATTGATTATATAATATTAACTTTTTTTTAACCCTTTTACTTGCATACATACGCCTGCCCCAAGATAAAAATAATTAAAAAAAATCATTTTTAGCAAAAAATGTTGAAGGTGATATGTGGTGAAGTGCATCGTAAATGTTTTTGGTTTACCATAATGCAAGAGAGAATAGAAAGCTGAGGGGAAATATTTTAATGAATTGTTTGTTCATAAACCAAACGGAGCCCAGAAATCTGGAATTGCTTTTTTTTTTAATATATATATATTTTTTTAAATAGAGAAAATTCTACTTTGATACCTTGAACTTTGGGGGTAGTTTCAAGTTAGTACCTAGACTTTCAAATGTGTCACTGCAGTACCTAAATGTTCACAAAGTGTCAAGTTGGTCCCTACTCCCTACCATTAACCGATTGTTAGTTATCTAATGAAAATATCAAAACTACCTTTCAAAAGAATACACTATTCATTGTCTTCTACCTTGAGACTGGACCAGTTATCTTCAAAGAAAAAGAGAGAAAAAAACATGAAATATGATAGAGGGAAGCACTAATTGAAAGCAAAGAAATAATTAGACAAGAATGTGTTTCAAATCTAAAGGTAGAAGATAATGACTTCATTAATCTAAAATCAAAAACACCTCAATCAATTCATGAACAATGTCTTTTTTAAGGGTAGTTTTGACATTTTCAACAGATAATTAATAGCATGGAGCAAGGTTTTAAAAACCGACCTAGAAACGAAACCGGTCTAGGTATCAATTTTCAGGTCAGCTGTTCGACCGTCTGGGTTGAACGGTTTGTATATTAGGGTTAGGGAAAATATTTTATATGAGATTTTAAAAAGGAGAATTGGAGTGGAAGAGATGTCGGTTGAGAAAGAAAAAAAAAAGAAAGAAGAAAAGAAAGGAAGAAAGGAAGAAAGGAAGAAAGGAAGGAGAATGGAAAAAAAAAATAAAAGAAGAGAAAGGAAATGAAGGAGGGAAGAAGAACGAAGAGGGGGAGGATGGTTTGATGTCACCGGTGATGGTGAAGTGGCAACAACAGATACAGATCTGAGGTATGAGTTCTCGGATCTCAGATTCGAGATTCTCTGCAACATCTTCTTCTTCTTCTTCCACAGATCTTAGACACGAACTCATATATGAGACACAAACTCAGATATGAATTCGTGTGTTTCTCCCTGCATCTTTATACTGTGAACTGCTGTTAGGTCAAATGAGTTGACAGTTTAACTGTCTGGGTCAGCGATTTTCTGACAAAATCAATGATTTTTTACCCAAAAGCGAATTAGGGGTGAAACGGAACTAGTTGCTTAGATGGTTTCCGGGCCGAACGGCCCGACCATCCGGGTCAACGACGGTTCAAAAACATTCACATCGAGCAACTTGTTACTTTTTGAAAGTTTAGGTAGTATATTAATACGTTCAAAAGTTTGAATACTAATTAGACACTACCCCAAATTTCAGTAAAATTTTACTTTTAAATATTAATAACTGAACGCGCTTTCTCACGTCTTTTAACTCCCAAGTCTCCCATCTCCCATCTCCTGCTCTGCTCTACTACTTGCCTCTGAGCCAACGCGGCATTTTGATTTTTTTTCCTAGTAGCAGTATCTTGTTAATATTTGATATTTCCACTAACCTGTACCAGCTTATATATTTAACAAATAAATATTTAAATAGGATTTTCAGTCTGTTTATCTCTCTCTCATTCTTAAAATCTTTTGATCAAAATGGGGAATTGCTGCTCAGACGACGCCGGCGGACGAGCGGCAGTCGGAGGCACGACTGCTTCTCATAGTAATCCCGCTGAAGGACCCAACGATGCTGTTGATTTCTTCCTTAAGTCACGTGGCTACGGCCTCTATACTCAGATCGAGGTTGGTTTTACAGTCGTCGCTCGAATTGAGCTACCTATCTCAGCAAACCCTATTTTTTCTTTAATGAGAACAAGATGAGTTGTCTATTATCATGTTTAGGTGATACTTGTGGTCAATATTATGTTCAAGTAGTTAATTTCTGGTTACGTGTACCAGAATTTCGACGAGGTTTCTCTCTCCAGTTCGAGCTTAGTTGAGTGAGATCTTCGTATCGAATCATCCTGCAACTCAGTTGCAATAGATGTTCAATTGGATTGTTGTGATAGACTATATAGTGAGGATCTCGGATATTTGGATGTCGCACTCTGGGATGAGCAAAACATTCACTCTGCGTTTCACAGGCTTACAATTTCGCTTTTTTGAGAAGACTTGAGTATTCTAAAGATAGGAACTAGTGTTCCTGATTTTCTCTTTTGTAGTTCTAACTTAGGTAGTAGAAAACATTACTGTATCTTCACAGTGATTGGGGGACAGTACTAGGCAGACAAATGATCATTTTCAGTTCGTGGTATGGATCCATGAATAGGGAGAGTCAGAGACAGTGTTTATCATATCATATATTATTCTGTTTACGCACACATATATTGCTTTGCACATGGAAATTTAGATGTCCATTATCCCCTTCTTTCACTAGAAGGTGACAATGGTTTAAACCGTTTTCCATTTTCATTCTCCTTAGTGTGTGCGTGTGTGTGCAACCGATTACTAATTCTGCATCCATTTTTTTTTTTTTTTGTTGGGTAAAATCCTGCATCTGAAGGAGCCATATTTTCATGCTTGAAGTTATTATTTCTGCAAGAAACCTGGTTGGATCTCCTTGGAGGTTGACTTAAATTTTAATCACTCACTGAAAGGCTTAACTTGTTTCTCTAGGTTCTGTTTTTATTTTATCATTAATTCCCATGAACATAATATTGACATTGATAACAGGTTTAACAGATGATTGCAGATTGTGATCACTAACCAGCAAGTGACAATAAGTTTCTCTCTGTTATTTATGCTAGTAACAATAAGTTTCTTTCTTGCATCCATGGATGCGTGTTTTCCTCGCTTTTCTGAAAGCAAGTTTCTTTCTCACAGTTTGCCTGCAGAAGGTCTTCTCTTGTTTTGGGAATGGGGGTTTTCTATACTATTACAACTCTGAAGGTGGGCTGCAACTAGATGAGTGGGGTATTGGGCTGTTTCCTTCTGCAGGCCATGGCTGTCAGACAGTTCTGATTCTACTGTTTGCCACTTTGCCCATTTTTTTTGATTGGAAACAGTAACTTCACTAAAAATATTTCAAAGTACAACTGTCAACCCCAATAGTATGATGTTGACTCAAGTTACATAATCATTACAGCACTGCCCATCCTCCCTTACAGTCCCTTGTTTTGCTAAGGTATCCGCTAGCCCATTAACTGACCTTCTTGTCCACTTGAAGCACACACCAATCTCCCTCGTTATATTGAGTATTTCCTTTATCATCTGCCTATATTTCCATGCTCCCAAGCAACCTGACTGCATCCAACCAATTAGCAACTTTCTTTTTTGACAAATAAACCAATTAACAACTTAGAGTCCCCTTTAATCTCCATTTGGTGCAACCCCAATTGTTTTAAGTAAAGCCATCACCTCCACTCTCAATGAATGTCCCTCTCTTATTGGTCCCAAAAGCATAGCAATAATTCTGCCCTCTCCATCTCTAAATACTCCCCCAATACCCTATGGGCCCGGATTACCTATAGAGATTCCATCAGAGTTTAATTTTGACCTTTGGAATGTTGGCGGGAACCACAGTTCCTGTACCACAGGCGTTAGGGATGAGTTATTCTGTCCAGCAATCGATTTTCCAGCAAACATGGTGTTGCAATGAATTTTAGCCATCATTATTGTCCCAGTAATTTGGTTCCTTCTATCTTTGCAAAGTTGGAGATTGTGTCCAGTGGTGCTGGACATGAAGACATTTATTATTCTGGTGAACTGGTCTCCTGAAACCTTTGTGACGGGATTTGTTGCCACTCTGCTACTGGTGTTTCTGCTTCTGCAAAGAGTTGGATGGGTGAGAATTTGGGAGCAAATTGCAACCCTGTGGTTAACTATTTCTAACAAATTACACCTGGCATTGATGGGCGTGATTTTTGGCACTTCCTATGCACCTACCTACGTGGATCAATTGGATTTATTGGAAAAATTTTGGTAAATTATTGGGCAATTAGCTTTTTGTTGCCAAATGGTTTATCTTGTATCAGGGAGAACTGTTGTCACATTTGTAGGTGGAAGTCTTGGGCCTCTCCTGCAGCTTTGTTTGCTATGAAACTTTTTCTGGTTTTGCCATTGTTTTGTGTTTGCTATGGAAATATGCATTCCTAAAACCCATCTTTGATGGCTTTGCTTTAGTGCTCAGTCATGCTTTCGAGGGAGACACTTTTGCTGAAATGATTTCTGTTGGAGGCAAATGTCCCTCCATTCTTGGCATTTTCACGACTTTTGCTTCATTTGCAGAGGTTACCGTCATTCTCCTGATGCTCATGGTTACCATCTTTTTCAACAAGATTAGTATGATTTAAAATATTGTATCTTTTTTACTTTTCTTGCTACTTGTATTCCCTGAGTTGTAATCTGAGCATTTTTTAATGAATTCTTCCCTGTGGCTTAAAAAAAAAAAGATCGCAGATTGTGAAGTTCATTAGGTAGGAAAGAAATGCATAACAGCCAGCTGGATTTGATCCCAGGTCTCTGTTATAACCAGCAGGAGACTTTGCCAGTGAGCTAGCTGGCACCCTCACCACAACAGTTTTGCTTGTGTCCATACTGTTTCGTTGATATGTTACCATGTTTAAGTTTCTTAAATCTTATCTATTAATTTTGCTTGCTTATAAGTATGCATTTTCAACTAAAGTTTTTATCTTCTTTTAGAACAGACTACAGACAGTAATTTTGTTACAAATACTATATGCAATGAGTGATAAATTTTGTAGTTCCTTCTTTATTTCCTTAGCAAAGCGAAAAAAAAAAACTGGGGAATTCTGTGGTTGTTGAAGTCTGAACTTTTATACTCCCTATCCTGTAGCTTGGCATAAGTCCATAGAATGATGAACTATGGGAGTTTTTGTTGGTTGCTTTCAGATTTATGACTATATAGCCAGACTGAAGGAAACACTTTAAGTGATTAGTTACTTGAATATGGGTCTGCTACTTGGATCATATTCTTTACCTAAAAAGACTATTCCTAAACTGTGGGCACCTGAGTGTAGAGAATGCTGGCATTTAGAAACTGTCCAATCCTTTCTTTTCCTTTTTGTAGTTATTACTATTGTGTTTAGCATGCTTTTGGTGATTTGTAATATTGAATTGACCTGAAAAAACATGTTTGACAGTTATCACTTTCTGCATCAAACTTGCGAGATCGGGATGCTCTATCCAAGGTTTGTTTTCTTAACTCTTAAAACTGTACAGAGGACTATAAATTACATCATTTTTTCATGATTATTCTAAGATGTTTTTTTGGTAGCCTTATTTGAGTAGTTTAGTATATAAATATGTTATGATTGCTGATAAGCCTGAAGTGCATTGGTTTTATACAACTACTTTTTGGTTAATGCTAATGAATTTATATAGTATTGCTACATAAATTTGTTGATTTTATATTTTTGATAGGTTAAATTTAGGGATTTTATTGTTATTGATAATCTCCTGAGAGGTTGTCCAACACAAAACTCATAAGGCATGTATAATTTGATTGATGACTCAATGCCATGACATTTGGATAAAACAGATCTAAATCCTTAACTAAAGAGTTTAAAGTACAAGCAAGGAAAATTCCACAGAATGTTTTATGAAAAATATGACTATGTTGTAAATTGTAATTGTAGTCTTGCAGAAAGTAGGAGTATATCTATGGGACATCTGGGCAAAATAACAGTGAATGACTGACTATAAGGTTGGATAAGTGTGAGATCCCTAGAAGCATCGATTGTAACATAGCAGAAAAGAAGCTACAAAATGTAAGGACCCATTGGTTTAGATTCGGGTAAGTCCAAAATCCTGAACCGACCCACTGAGCCGACCCGAACCGGTCATCAGACTCCTATATGGTTAAGAAAGTTGGACCGAATTAAGACCAGAGCCCTCGAGGATTATCCGGTTGAGATAGCAGACGATTCAGTCATCCCTAAAACACCCACCTTCGAGAACCAAGAAATTCCTGACACTCCCAACAGTCTCGAAGGAATAGGAAGAGAAGTAAATAAGCCTCCAATTCCTTGTTTGGATTCCTTTTTTTTTTTGATAAATGAGTAAAGTTTTATTAAATATTTAAACCAGCAAATACGAGTTACATGCAACCCATGGAAAGGCATGAGATGTGACCTTTCCTGAAGAAGTCTCTGATTCAGAAACAGAGATAAGCTCTTATTTCTCAGAAGAAGTCTCTGATGCCCATGAGGTGGCTCTTAGAAGGTCAAAGCTCTTATTCGAAGGGAGAGAAGTTTGGGGAAGCGTTGAGATTTTGCAGCCGATGTACTTAGTGAACCCAGATTATAGACTCGGGTCCGAACCGGGTTTTCTGTAGAAGGAATGAAGTTGTTTGTCGCCGGATTTCTCTGACCACAACCCAGGCTTTACCTTACCCTCCCCCTCTAACATTGCTTCTGAATCTTTAATTTCCTCACATGCTTCCCCTGTTCTCACTTTCAAACCTCTACTATCTGTGTTTCAGGTTCAAGTGCCTTGCTTTCCCAATCGATGACAAAGTCCTTCTCACACTCTGGGTCAGTGACAGGTGGTCCAAATAGCTAGAGTGGTGAAGAGCTTCAAGTGCATGAAAAAGGAGCAAAAGTTGGAGATGTGGGATTACAGGAGTTGTCCAGAAATTTGGGCATGACAGAAGTGAATGATGTAAGGGAATTTAGATGGGAAGGAGACACTAACAATAACAAAAGTAAGTGCATTTCGTCCAAGATAGGAACAGGGAGGAAGAAAGGGACAAACAGGGAACTGAAAAGACTCCAATGGCGTTTGACAAGTCAGAAGGTGAATTCACCCTCCGGTGCGGGAAATAGGGTTGGTAAGAGAAAGAGTGTGGTAGAGCTTCCATGAAGATTCTAAGCTGGAACGTAAGGGGTTTGGGAGGAGAGATGAAAAGAAGCATAGTGAAAGAAACCCTTAAGAGGGAAAATCCGAATATCATCATCCTACAGGAAACTAAAAAGGATTTGGTGGATAGGAAATTAATAAAAGCTGTATGGGGATTAAGAGGGAAGAAATGGGCAACCTTGCCAGCCATTGGGACAGCAGGAGGAATCATCATCGCATGGAGAGAGGAGGTGGTTTTAGGAACAGAAATAGATGCTGGAGAGTTCCTCCATCTCTGTCTTGTTTTCAAATGTACCAGATGGCTTCAACTGGATTCTGACAGGAGTGTACGGGCCCAACTCCCCTCGGGACAGAGTGAGATTTAGGGAAGAGCTTGATTCTCTCCACGAATTTGAAGACTTCCCGTGGTGTATTGGAGGAGACATCAATGTCACAAGATTCAGCCACGAAAGCACTAATAGTAGAAGAATCACCAGAAGCATGAGAGAGTTCTCTGATTTCATAGCAAGACACAACATCCATGATCTCCCCCTTTGCAATGGAAGGTTTTCCTGGTCGAATATGCAGGAGAATTTGATCAGTTGTAGGATTGATAGATTCCTGATAACTACAGATTGGGAGGAGCACTTCCCTGACTTATTCTAAGAGATCCGACTTAGGTGTACATCCGATCATTGGCCAATTGTGTTAGAAACTGAAGTCTTAAAAAGAGGAAAGCACCCCTTTAGACTAGAGAAGGTTTGGACTCTACATAAAGATTTCAAATCTAATGTGGCCTCTTGGTGGGAGGAGTGAGGTGGACGGTTGGGCTGGGTTTTGTTTTTTTCAGAAGTTAAAGTACCTAAAGAGGAAGCTAAAATCATGGGGAAAGGAAGAGTTCAAAGCATTTGCTGAAGAAAAAAATAAGTTAATTCAGGAATTGGATGAGTTAGACTGCAAGGAACAAGATGGGAATTTAGATGGCCAAGGGAGAAGAAGGGAGGAACTAAGGAAAGAGTGGGAAAAGGTAGTTAGGAGGGAAGAAGTATACTAGAGGCAAAGATCTAGAGTAAAATGGTTGAAGGAAGGGGATAAAAATTCAAGATTTTTAAATAGCAATGCCATAGGAAGACGAAGAAAAAATTACATCTCAAAACTGAAGGGGGCACAAAGAGAAGTGGAGGAACAAGAGGAGACAGTGGAGCAGTTTCTGAATTTTTTTAAGGAGCTGTACATAAAGAGTAACATCAAATCCTTTTACTTGTCTAACTGGGAAGGAAGTTGTTTGTCGGAGGGACAACAAGCTTGGCTAGAAAGGGAGTTTGAAGAACGGAAAGTTAAGGAAGCGGTTTTTGGTATGGATGGAAACAAATCTCCTGGTCCGGATGGTTTTCCTTTGTTCTTCTATCAATTGTGTTGGGATATAATCAAATCGGTCTTAATGGAAGTGTTCAAGGATTTCTTCAATTCAGCCATCATAAACAAAGGTAGCAATTCAACATTCATCACCTTAATCCCAAAGAAAGAAGGAGTTTTGGAAGTAAAGGACTTTAGGCTAATAAGTTTGGTGGGCAGTATTTATAAAATTGTGGCTAAAGTGCTGGCAGGCAGACTAAAGGAAGTGCTTAGAGATCTAATCTCCAATAGTCAATATGCTCTTGTAAAAGGAAGGCAAATCATTGATAGTATTTTAGTGGACAATGAATGTGTTGAAGACAGAAGACAAAAAGGCAAGTCTGGAGTGATTATAAAACTCGATTTGGAGAAAGCATATGACAAAGTTGACTGGGACTGTGTACTAAATCTGTTGGAGTTAAGAGGTTTTGGAAGAAGATGGGTGTGTTGGATAAAAGGGTGCCTCAATTCTGCTCGGTTCTCGGTGCTGATAAATGGAGAACCAAATGGTTATTTTCAGGCAAGTCGGGGTCTTAGGCAAGGCTGCCCCCTTTCCCCTTTTTTCTTTACTCTGGTTGTAGACATTCTCAGTCACTTCATTGAGAAAGCAAAAAGCCTAAACCTCTTGAAAGGGTTTAAAGTTGGAAGAGACTCAATTCACTTGTTCCATTTGATTTTTGCTGATGACATCATTGCGTTTTGGAGGCTGATCTGGGTTCTATCATTAACTTGAAAAAGGTCCTTGTGTGTTTCGAGAAAGTTATAGGTCTCCAAGTAAAATTTTCCAAGAGCAGCATTGTGGGGATAAACATAAGTGAAAGTTTGGTAAACAGCTTCAAGGCTATCCTAGGTTGTAAAGTGGAGACTTTTTCGATCTCGTACTTGGGGTTGCCTCTCGGAGGGAATCCAAGAAGCTAAAGCTTCTGGGAACCAGTAGTGGAAAAGTGTGAAAAAGACTGGCAACTTGAAAGAAAGGCTATCTTTCAAAAGGAGGAAAGCTCACTTTAATAAAGGCTTCCTTGGCTAACCTACCTAGTTACTATATCTCAGTGTTCCAAATCTTGGCCAAGATCAGAAATAAAATTGAAAAGCTGCAGCGTGACTTCTTGTGGGATGGGGGTGGAGAGAAAAAAAACCACTTAGTCAGTTGGGACTTAGCTTGTAGACCAAAGGAAGCTGGAGGACTTGGAATAGGAAGGATCAAGGAAAAAAATGTAGCACTTCTGGGGAAGTGGCTGTGGCAGTTTCCTCTAGAATCAAACGCCCTTTGGACCTCGGTTATAATCAGCAAATACGGAAAGAATGCCAATGGTTGGGACAGCAAGGTCACCTTGAATCGAACAAAAGCCTCTAACCATTGGAAAGGTATTTGCTCCATTAGTCCATTTATGATATCTTTATTTCCTTTATTAGATATAAAGTAGGGGATGGGGCCAAAATCAAATTTCTCTAGCCAACAGATTTCCTTGTCTTTTCAATCTCTCCCAAAACAGAGAAGCTACTTTAGTCTCCTGTATTTCAGATTCAACCCTTGCTTCAAACTGGAACCTAAACCTAAGAAGACACTCAAGGGATGTGGAGATTGAGGATCTTGCCGAACTCCTACATGCCTTAAGAGAAGTCTATGTTTCCCCTTCAAACCAAGACCAACGAATCTGGAAGCTCCATCCACCCGGTAAGTTCACAACTAATTCCTTTTTCAGAGCCTTGGTATCGGGTGACACAAACTATGGATTCCCTTATAGAAGAGTTTGGATTGCTCATGTACTCTCGAGAGTCTCTTTTTTTGTGTGAGAGGCTTGCTTGGGGAAAATAAACACCTATGATCTTTTACAAAAAAAGCTCAACGGAAGGCTGTACATTTCTCCCCATGTCTGTATCCTTTGTCTCAGTAATGGTGAGTCGGCAGACAATCTCCTCTTACATTGCTCAGTAATGAGGAAGATATGGCTTTACT